AGGCTTGGTGGCAGCACTTGGGCCCGGGTAGGGGACCCACGCTGGAGCAGTTTGTGAAGAACTGCAGCCCGTGGGAAAGACTCACGCTGGAGAAGTTCATGGAGGACTGTCTCCTATGGGAGGGACCCTACACTGGAAAGGTGTTTTTAAGATTTGGTTTTATTTCTTATTCCCCAACTCTGATTCGATTGATAATAAATTAAATTAATTTCCCCAAGTCAAGTCTGTTTTGCCTGTGATGGTAATTAGTGAGTGATCTCCCTGTCCTTATCTCGACCCACGAGCCTTTTGTTATATTTTCTCTCCCCTGTCCAGCTGAGGAGGGGAGTGATAGAGCAGCTTGGTGGGCACCTGGCGTCCAGCCAGGGTCAACCCACCACAGAAAGACAGTCATTGCTCTAAAAATTTAGAATTTACACAGCTCATCAACAACATTTTTCTGTTTAAATAATGAGGTTACAAAACATGAAATGCAGTTATATTAACTGGTCAAGATCAAATTATTTTATCCTCAAAAGTTTATTTTGATATGTGTAATACAATTAAAGTATTGATGAAAAAGTACATTTCTTTAAAACCAAGGAAATCGTATTAATCAATAATTCAGTTAACTTCTTAACTTCAGTTAACTTTGCCTAAGACTTATCTTTTTGTACCAGTAGGAATAGGCATAGCTATTAAAAATTCATTTGCATTAGCCTGATTGTCACTCTTATGCAAAAATGATGCCATCGCTGGAATTTGAGCAAAGTAGTTTTTTGCCCGGATATGCTTGTGTTTTATTCTGTGAATAAATGCCGCTTCATAAGCCTGAAAGGCAAAAAAATCCAAATCCCGTTAAATATAATTACAATATCTAGCAAGCTACATGTTGTTTCATATTTTAGACTGTATAAATAGTGACCCTTTAATAAACTGAGCCAGATATTTATTCATATATGATACATAATGAAATATTTTGTAGTTTTATACTGCTACCCTATGGCCCAATAGTGAAAATTACTAACCACTCCTTGTGAAATATTAGTCACCTTTTAAAAACAGAAAAACTTCTGGCATTTTTTTTATCCATTCAAGATAAAACTTATTTATTTCTTTTCAGGTAAGAACATTTGTACTTACCTTTGAAAATTAAAAAAGGCAATGCTTAACTATCAACATTTGCAAGGTAATGACTACAGGAAATTTCCTTGATAGGAATCAGAGTGATTACTTACAAATAATCATGGTAGCAAGCATTTTGCAGCATTTCAGTCAGCCTTTGCATTCAGTGGTGACATCTTCCTAAATTTCTAGTGATTAGTAGTAGTTCAGATGATGTAATAAATAACCAGAACACTTAGTTGAAAAAACCCTTTGCTACCGCTATGGTCATCGTTATGAATAATTGCTATTAAAGAAAGTGCTGGAGAGGTCTTTTTTTGTTTCAGTGAATGAGAAACAATGATTCAACTTAGAATGAATTCTAAGTTGAATTCAACTTTGCCTCACTTTCCTTATTTCACACTTTTTTTTTTTTTTTTTTTAAATAAAGCTTTGACCATTACCAGTGAAGAAAGGTGACTCCTCACTATAGCTGGCCTGCCTCTGTTTTTGTAGCAAGAGCTAAGTGAAAATACCTTACGATTTTTAGGTAGGCTTGCCTGTTGCTCTTCTGGCCTAACTCCCATCTCCACTAAGCTCTAGACTCAAGTTAATGGCATCTCTTTGACTATGACATCCAGACTTAAGTTAAACCAGATAAGTGCATAATCAGAATCTTTGCCTGCCATAATGCCAGTAACATAAATTTATGGATGCAGAGAAGCATTGCTAGATTCAGACTGCCTGAACAGCCTTGTTGACTGAAAGTGAGACAGAGGAGTCAATAAAGGAATTTCCAGCTTGAAATTTATTTTACCTTTTAAAGCTAATGCTCACATAAACATGTAAGTGTCTGCTTGAAGACGCAAGTTGGGCACACACACAAAAAGTATTATGGATGGTAGAATTTCCTTTACCTTTAAAATTCCCTGACTAATATATTTCATCCCCTAAGCAAACCTTTCATTAAGAGAGCAATGTATTTGCTCTGTCAGTTTAGTTATTACATACTCTTAAGACTTCCAACAAGAAGGGCAACGAGTAACAGCTGAAGTTGCATTTGTGATGCACACATATTGTGTTAGAAATCGAATTAAGCATTAGAATTAATTAGAATTAATTAGAAATCGAACCTTCTACACCCTGAACAAAAGAACACTATACAACAATGACCTCAGATCACTACTTACAGAAATCAATAACCTAGAGGTGAAAGGCTTAATAATCCATTACTAATTGCAGGACAAACACAACTCACAGGATTCTCTCGTGCCTTAGAGAACTAAATACTCTACCATATGATGTCCAGTGGAGTGAGATATTTACCAGACTACTGTGTTTAGATATGGAATTTGGGGGGAGTGGTGTAAAAATACACAGTTTCACTGACGACTTTAACAAATTCTTAAGTTTTTTCAATTCAGAACAGCAATTATGGTTTTATTACTTAATTACAAACTATAAGATTACATTGTCAGGGGTACTTAAATGACATCTATTAAGAAAGTAAATTGAGACAAATTTTATTATGATAAATAGTTAAGTTCTAGACAAAGAGCCATTCTGTTATTTGATGAGAAATTTAGAAGGCCAGAAACTACTGAGGCCAGAGCATGTGCAAGAGCACAGGCACACAGTTGTCACAGTCTTTACGGTAAGTCTTTAGTGTTTTTTTCATCCAGGCCAGCTCTTGTCTGATCTCAGCTGAGGGAAGAGCATAGGCATAGCACTGTTCTCAGTAGGCAGTATGGATGAGGCCACTTAGCTTCTTGCATTTCGGGAGGGAGAATCAGGGCAAGACAGAGTTCAGTACATAGATGTGAGCTGCATTATGTCAGCTGCCCTCAGGACTAGTGCCTGTTTTATTTAATAGTATAGATGCAATCATTTAAATAGTCACAATGGGCCAATTTAAACATGGATGAGTGTGAGGACTAAATTTGGCCAAATATCATTAGTCACAGGATTCTATTAAAACATAATATAAATATTGTAAAAAATAAAGCCCATCAAATTTTACCTCCTGAAGGTTACACAGCCTAAGATGTGCATCTGCCTCATCTTTAGTGAGGAGAATAGTGTTCCACGGAGACCACTCACGCTGCTTATCCCATCTGACCATAAACAAATCATAGAGGTCACTGCAGGCACTGAGAGCTGACTGACAGCCCCATATGTTCTCAATCATGTACTGTAGATCTTGATGCTGAAACAGAAAGCAGGGTTAAGAAGGAAGAAGCATGTTTCATTCTACAACAAAAGCATTGTAACTGTATAAGAATACAAATAAAGATTTGAGTAAAAATTTTTTTCTATGCATATGTCATATAATCACTTGGTTAAAGAATGTCTAGACATACGCATCTTCCTTTAGCATGGTGTGGCAATTATTAACTGCATTTTTCTTGTATCATCTCTAAAATATTACATTCTTACTTTGATGGTCTCTGCCAATGGCAATTCATATCTTCTGTTGACATCCTGATTGCCTAACTGCTCTTATAAAGCTTCTTAAATCTCATGGTTTTTCTCATGTAGCATGCTTACGCCTGTTCAGATCTTTTTGATTAATAACAATAATCCATCTTTGTCATTTCTGAGATGACTTCACCATTTCATTCTTCAGTTCAGAATTAATGTTATTCAATAAATGAGTTATTACACTACTAAATTACTTAAAGTTTACATATAATCAGAATAATCTGGCCTGGAAAATGTGGGAAATTAGGACAAGAAAAACTCCCATCTGTGACAGACCCCAAATCACTGCCTGCTTTGCTTTCTTCCCCTCACTCTGCTGTTGACATATGAAGAGTTTATTGTGCTTATGATACTGTCGTTCATTTACCAAATGAGATTATAAGATCAGGTAGCTATGCTACAATATTAACAAAAAATAATAGGTCTGTTTGTAAAGGTTCTCTAGTACAGAAAAGCCTTTAAATGTACTTTTAACCTGTGTCTAAGGTTAATTTATGTCAATCTTAATTTGTTTAATTTATTACTAGCCATCTGAAATCACTACTAAAACTTGATAAAAACAGCCTCTTGAATGAAAAAAAAAAAGGGATGGCAGTTACCACTGAACTTTGGCAAATTTTTATGTCACCCTCCATTAATTCTTCTCTGTATTAGTCATGGAAAATTATTAGAAGATTTTTATTTACAGGAGTCTGTAAACAACAGACTTTTAAATAGGTTTTCCTCCAAGCTAGCTATTTGAAGACGACTCATTCCTCTAAAAAGAAATCTTGACTTAATTAAATAATGTTACTTATTAAATTCCTGACAAAGAATGAATGGAACTATACCAACAGAGTGCTTTAGTGAAATGTAGCCTCAAGTATTCTCATCTGTCTTGCTTCCAAAATCCAGGAGCCCATGTAAATTCTTGCCAGGGAAAATGTAAGATAAAAGGTGGGCTTAGAACCTCCACTGGTAATAAATCTATGCCTACTGATTCCAGGAACATAGGACTGCTCCTACATCTGGTCTTAAATCTGGTCCTA